AATGATGATGATTGGACAATTATACCTGCAGTGTAGGGTTGACATGTTGGTGTTTCAATGGTGATGCAACCCTACAGGGTCTTGTTTGAATTCCTTTTATACTTTCAAACCAGCAACCCTACAGGGGCTTGTTTGAATTCATTTCATAGGTTCAAATCCAACAGAGGCTCAACCCTACACTAAATAATTTTTTAAATTTTTTTGTTCTAGTAAAGCAGTAGATATGAACAATAACATTGACAGTTAATAGACCACACAATATACCAACTAACACACTAAGAGCAATAACACTGTCTGATGTATCACTAGTTGATGGGACTACTGAAACTGGAGTAGCATTAGAGACTGAAGTGCAGTTACATAAAGGACAACCTGTATATAGATTGAGTGGAAATGTACAAACATAAAGTGTAAAAAATGATAATAATCTATATACTTACTAACTGAGCAATACCCAGTAGATGAGGTAGAGATAACTGATTGAACTGATGATGAAGACATATTACTAGCTGATGGCTGTGGTTGTAGTGCTAATGTCTCATTAGCAATAACTGTCCATTCTCCATATCCATTAACAGTGTATGCACGTACACCAAAAAGATAACAAGACACAGCATCAAGACCAGTAATGTTAATAAATGTATTGCCATTGGTTGAATTAGAAAACTGTAGCATTTCAATATTAAAGTCATCATAATTTACCGTCAAACAGATACCAGACCATAAGGTATGATATCCTATCTCATATGTGATAATGGGATAGTCTGATGGAATATAACTAGGTACACTCCATGAGATAATAGCCCATGTAGTGTCCATGATACTGGATACTGAACCAACTGGACCAGGTACTAAATAAAGACACATTCAAATATTATAGTATAATAATTACATACCTATTCCAATCTCTACTATAATAGGATCACTGAAGGGACCTCTTCCAACAGAATTGACAGCAGCTACACTGATGTTATACACAGTACCAAATACTAGATCATTCAATATGATATATCTCTCAGTACTGGTGAGGTTGTATGTGATACTACTGTTACTGATTATCACTGAATAGCCTGTGATTAGACCATTACGCTCAGAACAATTGACGTCATCCCAAGTGAGATTATTAATTGGTTGCAATAAAGACAATGAATTAGGTACTCCAGTAGAAGCTAAATGAATAAAGTATCAATATAATAATTAATTCAAATGAAGACTGTTAAACCTGTTGATATTGTGTACTCTTCAACTAAACTAGGATCAGATCCTCCTAGTACATTACCAGCTCTCACTGTGATGGTATAGTTCATACCACTGTACAGACCTATTAATGTATAACTATATGTTGTAGTGGACTGACGAGGACCAACAGAGACTGTCTCATTCACTGATAATAACTGGGGACAAGATGGAGTATAGGAGATGGTGTAATATGTTACATAGTTGTCACTACTGGGAATAGTCCAGTTCACTGTAATACTAGTGGTTGAGACATTAGATACTGAGAGACTAAATACTGGACTAGGAACTAGAAGAGATATCAATTACACTCTTTCAATAATAACAACTCACCATCAAATCTTAACACTGTTACTATACTATTAACTGATGGAAGATGTATATATGAGTACACACTGATGGTATAGGTACTCATTGGTGAGAGATCTGATAGTACAATTTCATGTACATTGGTAGATATTACACTCCTAGTTACACCTCCAGTAGTATACTCAATCACATATCCATTAGTCTCTGATGAATTGGTCCAGTTCACTTTGATACTAGTAGCATTTAATATAAACCTTTTCACATTATTTGGAGGACCACTAGGAGCTAGAAAAGAGACAAAGGTATCTACTATTGATTACAGTATAATCATACCATGTACTATCACAGATTGACTGTAGTTGACTCCTCCAATCATTGCTATACAGGTAACATTAACTGACACTCCCAGTGGATCAGGATATACCAGTAGTGTGTTGTTGTATGTCAGGACATCAATTGATGTATACATTGAGTTACTCTTCATCAATCCATTCACTAACCAGTAAACATCAGTTGAAGGATTTATATCAGTAGTTGTGAGACAATCAATACGATATTGAGTGTTATTGAGTTGTGTAATGGATGAGACTAGTGTCCAATTGATTGAATTAATAACTAGAAATACATCAACAATGTTACAAGTACATTAAAAGGTGTAGTAGCAATACCTAGTAAGGTCTGTACACTGATTGTACTAGTAGGTCCCAGTAATTGTTGATAGGCTCTGACTGTGATGCTATAAGTTGTTCCTCCACTCAGTCCATTCAGTGTGATTGTATTATTACTACTTCCCTTCACCTGTACTGTCTGCACAGTGTCTGTGTCACTAGTGACATTGACTACATATCCATCAGCATCAGATGAATCAAGTGCAGTCCAACTGACAGTGATAGTGGTAGCTGTTTTGTTGACTTCAGTAAGAAAAGAGGGAGCAGTTGCTGGAACTAAAAATACAGTAGCATTTTAAAAATATAATCTAATCTGTTACCTTTTATAGTTACAGGACAAATTCTAGTAGGTTGATTAGTAACTGCCACTACACACTGATACATTTGATCTCCAGTGGTGTATCGACTGATTAATCCATTTTTGATTGTCATTCCATCCCATGTGATATCAACAGTATACCTTACTGTGTTGGTAATACTAACCAACACAGTACCATGACAATTGCTATTTCTATTGTCACAGTTAGTGTAACTAGCCAGTGTAGTACTATTGATGCTCATTCTGATATCATAGTAAGGGTGTCCAGTTTTGACACAATTCAGTTTGTATTCCTGAGGATATACTGTCATATCAGAAGGAAGATCAGCAACAGTAAATGATTCTATTTGTGCAAATCCTACAAAAATTATTACATGCATTAGTAGATCTAAGTGATTATAGTCTCCTCTTACTGAATATATTAGCAAAGATGATGTTAGTGTTAGGATCTGAACAATCAGTGGGTAGACAACACTTGTACCAGCCTTCTTGAGCTGCTGATAGTCCCTCAGCAAGATAAAGATTGAGAGTAGCATCAGGTGAAGTGACATTAGTACAACGAAAAGGATCACTGGGACTATTACTGTTACAGTCAACAGGATCATCAGGATCAGCAACTCTAACCCACTGACCAGTAGTTAGACTAGTACCAGGTAACACACATGATATATTTTGAGTAATGTAATTGACACTACTATCCCAAAAATATGATCCATTAGGATAACAGTTTCCATTATATGCTAAATAGATGCCTATAATAATCAATATTTATATTAATTTATAATAAAACAAAATACCTTCTTGTTGACAATGAGTGAAGACACTTATTGTACTAGCAGGTCCCAGTAATTGTTGATAGGCTCTGACTGTGATGCTATAAGTTGATAGTTCTCTCAGTCCATTCAGTGTGATTGTATTATTACTACTTCCCTCCATCTGTACTGTCTGCACAGTGTCTGTGTCACTAGTGACATTGACTACATATCCATCAGCATCAGATGAATCAAGTGCAGTCCAACTGACAGTGATAGTGGTAGCTGTCTTGTTGACTTCAGTAAGAGAAGAGGGAGCAGTTGCTGGTACTAATAGAAAGAGATACATTATTATTATTATTGGTAAAATTACATGTAGAAGCATAATGTAGATCAACATTACCTTTTATGGTTAAATTACGCGTTCTATTGGCACCACTAGGATTTTCCAGTACACACTGATACATTTGATCTCCAGTGGCTGATTGACTGATTGATCCACTACTGACAGTCATTCCATCCCATGTGATATCAACAGTATATCTTAATATGTTGGTACTACTAACTAACACAGTACCAAAGCAACTATTACTACGATCATCACAATTAGTGTAACTAGCCAGTGCAATACTACCAATGCTCATACTAATACCATAATGAGTGTATCCAATTTTAGTACAATTCAGTTTGTATTCCTGAGGATATACTGTCATATCAGAAGGAAGATCAGCTATAAAAAATGATTCTATCTGTGCAAAACCTATATACAAATAAAAAATTAACTTCAAGAGAGTTGATCAGCATATTTTACTGAATATATTAGCAAAGATGATGTTAGTGTTAGAATCTGAACAATTAGTGGGTAGACAACACTTGTACCAGCCATCACCAGCAGATGACTGGATAAAGCTTGGTGGATTTATGAAAACACTGAGACTAGCGCCTGACCCAGTAGTACATTGAAGATTTAAATTGTTACCACCATCACAAGGAACTACTCCATTAGGACCAATCCATTGTCCACCATTCAGAGTAGCACCAGGTAATACACACTCTAGTGGAGTTGGTCTGATACTGTTATCCCAAAAATATGATCCATTAGGATAACAGTTTCCACTATGCCTCAGGTAGATACCTATAAAAACTTATACAGTTGTTATTATACACATCCAGTGTCTTACCTGAGGAAGGTGGACATTGACTAATAACTTTATTGACATTCAACAAAATGAGCAAAATCACCAACAAAACTGACAATGCCATCTTAACAATAGTAAGATAGTAAATAAAAATTATAAAAACTATAAAATATCAGTCTAATGTTATTTTTATCAAAATTAAAGACAGTTTCTTTTACATAAATAAAGTGCACATCACCATTAAAACTTGTTTACTTATATCCTTAAAATAAGCTCATACAATAACATGAGTATGCTGTGAAAATCACTTAAGTTTTGTATCTCAGACTCATGAGTACATGAATAATGTTAACATGAACATCAAATCAAATAAATCAGGAAACCTGCCCCTTTGTACTCACAAGTTTACAGCCTGTATAGACACATCACAGCATGAATATAATCAGAATCATTTTGCAGCTTGTCATTCACACCTGGAGATACCAGTAGTGTGCAATATTGCTAGAGTTGTCATTAGAGTTAGACCATTGGTACTTGTATTATACAAACAGGAAGAGCCAGACAAGCAGACACCAGTAATAATCATGAACAGTGGACAAGTTATTACATTAAGAAATTCTCTTGAAAACTCTAAAACAAAATCATTCTTTGATGATACTTATGGACTCAGCAAAGTCCAATACAATATTATTAGTCACATTCTGAAACAAGAACACTTTTATGATCATGCAGGACGGTATTGTTGACTAGACAAGTTTGACTGTACATGTATGAATGCAGTTTAAATTGGTAGCAACTCTAAAAGTTTGTCAAGAATCCAAATGTGATTGGAATCACAGCTCAAAATTGAAACACAACATGACAACATGTATAGAGCTGTGCACGGAAGTA